GGCTTGTCTTTTGCACGATATTCGCTCGATTGATCGGTTGTTTCGGAATCATAAGCATAGATCCAAGTCTCATCTAGAGTTATGATGCGTTTCATTTTCATTTTGATAGTCAAAAAGCATTGTTTCACAGCTGTTAACACGACGGTCTTTTTCGAAAAAAAATTGATTTTTTTGCATTACATTTTTTTGCATTACATACTTTTTGCATTACATACTTTTTGATTAAAATTTGTCACTCTTAAGGAATAGTATAACGTATTCTGACTTACTTGAACTATATTTTATTATTTATTTAATATATTAAACACTTATATAATCTTTTTGCTAAATTAACCATACTAATTCTATTTTATTATCCGCCGCTGTATGCAAATGTAATATTTTATATGAAGCAGCGACCTCTGCGCTCAGCAGTGTTGAATATCCATTAAAATCAACCTTTTTGGTGCAGACAACGCAGCCCCTTTAACTTTACACCACCGCAACTGCAACAACAACAGCAAAGCAAAAGGTTTTAGCGAAATCCTCCACTTAGCTGGCAGACCAGATGCAGGTGGCAGCATCGAGTATTTAGATGACTATTATGTGCCGGCAACGCAATAATAACACGCAGTTACGTTTGCCTGTATATGTGTGGGTTGTGCGCGTGTGGTGTTGAATGTGCGCCGTAGTGCTGCGTTTGCATTTGGCAGCGTGTTCGTGCGTAACAAATTGAAAATGAAAATTTTCGAAATAGAAATTCCAAATGCAGCAGAGCAGAACGCAGCAGCCGGAGCAGCAGCAAACAGACACGCGCACATACATACACATTACCTAAGGCGGCGAAACAAAAACAACAACAATAACAGTGCTAATGCTGTAGGTAAGCAAACTGTTGGCCATAAACACGTTTTTGCCATTGAATGTTGTGCGGTGTGAACGTGCAACATTGCATTTGCAGCAATAATGACTGGCGATGGCCAAAGCGCAACTTGTAAATTCATCGTAATATGGTAAAATGTTGCTTCAACAGCAACAAAGAACCTGTATATCTTGGCGGCGAGTCACAACAACAACAACAAAAAACCTTTACAAATTGGCGAAGAGTCAAGAAATCGAAAATCACAACAAAGGATGCTGCAATTTAAATTATGAAAGTCGTTGCTTACAAATGTTGCACAGTGCTGACGCTTAAGGCGAATAGACGTTGGTGCTTGCCACAAACTGTACTGATCGAAAGGACGCTCTGATATTTTTGGTGATTAGAGTTTTGGTGGCAAGGTCGAGTGTTGCATGCTTAGTGACTTTTATTGTGGCGCTTTGGAATATGCAACATACATACAAATGCAGCCGACATTAGCAATTAATGACGCACATGCAATGTGATGTTGCACGTTAAGTAAGTTCGTAAGTATGGACGTAAGTACGCGATTAAGTGAGTGCGCAAGTGACAACATGCAACAAACTGTAATTAGTGCGTTTGTGCGCTACATTTGTGGCACTGTATCTATTGTTGCCACATTGAACAAAATTAAATGCCTTTTAATGTCCTGCGGATGTATTTAGCAGCGCACACCCACACGTCGACACATCCACGCACACATGTGCAGTAGCAAGTGCTGCAAGTTCAACAAAGGATCAGCAATTAGTGTTGACTACGCGACTTTATCCTTGCAGCAACATTTAACATGCTCTGACACTAAGCGACATGGTGCAACACATGCTTAGTTGCACATATAGAGCTTTTCTTGTTACTACAGACGACTTTTGTTGTTGTAAAAAGTAAAATGTTAGTGTAGTTAGAAGATGGTGGTCGAAAAAAATGATCACTATTTATATTTAGTAAATGAGGGACATTAGTGCTGGTTGTAGCAAGGACGAACACGCGTGTGTTCATATTCATATAAATGTCGAACTAATGTCCAACACGCCAGAGGTAGGTGTATTTACTCGCCACGCTACATTTCTGCATATAGTTATATCAAAAATTTTGTCTAAACATGACTGGTAGCTTGTTGATAGTAAAAACTTAAATTAGTAAAAAATAAAGTATAGGACCTGATCAAATTTGAACCGGACTGACAACGAACACAAGAAAAAAGTTAACTTAAAATCGGAGGAGCTAGTTCGAGTCTACACAGAAAAACAGACTCAGCTGGTCATGTTGATCAATTAGATATATATTACATAGGGTTTCCGTCTTTTGTTTCGAGGTGCTACACACGTCGTGACAAACTTAATATATCCTTTTCAAGATATAAAAAATGCGTTTCCACGTTTTAAAGTCACATGCAACCCAAATACCCAAAATATTATGCAAAATGATTGTGTCGATTCATAAGGGATGTTGAGACGTCTCTCTGACTTTTCTATCTCAATCTACTATGTCTCTTTAATTTGTAAAAATGTCTGCGAAAAATCGAATTTCAGCTTTTTTTCTTCTGCCAAGTTCTATGTTAAGCTTTTAACTAAAACACGTATTTTTGTTTTTCTCTTTAGATGATTTCGTAAGGAGTTATCCTGCTAAGGCGAGCCGAGAAAAAACATCAGTTCGATTAACAATATCAAAAAACCGATTTGAAGATCGCTTCAACAAAATATCATCTTTTAGTCATCCTTTAAGAAACTATTTAAATTCTACCGCGAAGTTTTTCCGAAACATCAACACTTTAACTAAACCGAATTTCAAAATCTACAGAGTAGGTTGCTGCCAAGGTCAACGCTTAAACTCTCCTGAAGAAAGTATTAAACTGAAGTGGGAGTAAGCCATTTCACCCAACAATATTCGAATCTATACCTTGGAATGCTGCTTCAAATAGTCACACCAGATTACATTTATAGACAGTAAATACTAAAAACTCATGATTTTACGGAATCGGCATTATATCATCTATTGAAATCTTGAACTTTAATCAAATATTGTCAATCTATCCAAAAAGATGATACATAAGCAAATAAACAAAAAAAGGCATGTTTTGGTTTACAAAAATTGTAATACTCTTTGGAGAACTACACATGTTTCTTTTTAAGACAAAATCGATTGTGATATATAGGCAAATAGAAACAGAACAAATAAAGAACAGATGTAACCGAACATTTCATACTCTTGCAACTTGCTAGCACCAAAACCACGGAAATATCTCAAATACAAAGGTGTGTGAGTAATATGAGGCCTAGGGCAAGTTTTCGTTCGATTTTTAACTATAAAGTCAAGCAGAAATTCGAAAATCTGTCTATTAGGTATATGGGACGCAGAGAAGTATTGATCTCATGCAATAAATTTTTGATATACAGGCGCACAATTATTATGAGAGAATTCTCACCGAATTTCTATAATACATCTCACAGATTGATCGATATATTCGATAAAAGTTCGCATTTGGAAACTGGATCTACATATTCGGTATCTGTGGACTTTAATAGTTTGGGTCCGATTTGGAAGCTTTCTGATCATAAGGTTACCTACTATACTTTAAACGCACTATTCGGGTCTTCTTGCGATACATTCATTGATATTTGATTTGTATATTGTTAAGTGAAAGAATCGGATATAATTTAAAATTGTGCTAAATGAGAAATAGGCGTGGTTATAGTCCGATTTTGCTCGTTTTTATACTGTATTATAAAAATCTCAAAATAATATTTTATGTCGAATATGCTCGATATCGGTCAATTTTTTATTATTGCTTAATTGGTTTGGCATACTCGTATTTGTACACTAAACTTATTAGAGCGAGGGCACGCCCACTTTTTCAAAATTATTGCATGCCTCGCACAATAGTATTATGCATTCCCGGGCAAAATCATAAGATTTTCTTACACAATTGGAGATATTTACAACTTAAGGCGCTGTTCAAGCAGTTCTATAATGAAAATTTCTTATTCGATTCGACGCCTGTGACCGATTATTTGACCAAAAACACTACTATACATAAGCCCACTTTTCAACTGGGAAAGAAGGTCCCAAGTAAGCATAGCAAAATATGGCTGGCATAAAGGTATGTTAGGTACTGATGGCTTGAAAATGAACGATGGAGTTGGTGCGGGAAATACTGTCCAGAGTTAGGCTCATGCAGACTGGCCCCTCGGCGAGTATCGTGGTGGTTGTTGTTAAAACCCAAATGCGGGAAGAACTGACTTTGTCAGTTGAATATGGAGTTGCATTGCAACAGGGTACCGGACTCAAAGTACGGCAGAGGTTTTACCCTACCAAGGTGGTTAGTATGTTCATTCCACATTCGTACCGCATATTGACCAGAAGTGGCTTGGGAAGCATGGCAGCAGTGGAAAAACCAAAAGTAAAAAACTTCACTTCTACTGGGTGCCAGGCCACAAAGGCATCGAGGGCAATGAAATAGTGGACGTGATTGCCAAGAATGATGTACGGCTAACTTCCGAAGACGTAACCAAAATTCGGAAACCCATGCTTTGTCTATACGACGATCTCGACCAAAGCAAGAAAATCAAAATCCGATCAAGCTGCCTGGGTGCAAAACTGCAAAAGTCATATATAAAACGGTATACCAGAAGTACACAAAATTCCAACTGGCACTCGATAGAAGAGACTGTAGGAACATGATGGGAATACTAACTGGTCACTGTCTGGTGGGACGACACGTCTAGAGCAAGGCGCCTGGGAAACAAAAGATAATATCTTACGCTGTAAACATCTGGGGTCCACACGGTATGATACACTGGAGTTTTCGGAAATTCGCGTCAAGCGCAGGCATCCTAAAGAATTATTACTTATCTTCGACCTAGCAACTTAACTACATCTGGTATCGCAAAGGATTATGGTCTATACTTGGCTTATTGGCCTTCCTATGTAATTAATCTAAACTAATCTAGAAGAAGTCGAATTTAATTGGAAATAAAAATACGGACAAGCTTCTAAGGGAGCAAAGTTGTGAAAAGAACACTCAAAGCACGAGTTCGTAATTTTTTATGCTTCTTCGATTCAATGGGATTTCGGGTATATAAAAAGATCTAAAGATATAATATATAATAATGATTTCACTTACCATATGTACTGCAAGAGGTCTCGATCTGTGTCCGATTGCCGATGAACCCTGGAGGACAAGAAAATTAGCTTTAGTGACTTCATTTTGAAATATATCTTAAGATTTCTAAAAAATGCTAGTTAAGAATTTCTACGACGGTATCTTATGATGAAAACTATCTTAGACTCGGGAAATATTGCTGAACGACCCCTAAGGGACGAAATCAAAACTATAAATCGACAACAAAACTTCCAAACAAAGCAAACAACATCCTTCAACACCGCATTCACCAAAACTATGACAAAAGCTACTCTGCAACTAAGAGCGCTGAGGGAGCAATGTTGCCACATGAAGTTAGTTTGTATGCCTAAGCTACATTTACGAACTTCTAACAATTTCGAATATAATAATAACAACAACAATAGCAGCTTAGTATATTTAACAACTGGAAATTACTATTGAGTGTTGCTATTGTTGCTAATGTGGCACTGAGGCACATTTGTCGAATGGTCACCGGTGGATGTGAGGCAAGAAGGCAGTTCAAGAGTGAGAATGTGTGAGTGTTTGAGAAAATTTGTTAAGCACAAATGCAGCACCGTATACATTTACACATCATCCGACACACACACAGAGACATGCGAATACAATGACACGGAACCGCATGCATCATGCCAATGAGCTGCATTGTGTGGCATGGCTTCGTGACTTTTAAATAGTTTTGTGTGCAGGCGCAAATGAATGAGACGCTGTTGCAACAATTCTTGGCTACGGCTTTATGGACAACAACAATGGTTGTTGTTGTGCCTAATAGGTATTTAGTGTTGTTGCCAAGGCTGTGCGAGTGCTGGTTGCAAGATTTATTATCACATTAAAAGTTGTTCGAGCAAATACTTGCGCAAATAGTTTTCGACGCCGAAAGTTGCACAACACACACACTCACACATATATCTACACATAAACACTTGGGTACAAAACTGTGAAAAGAACACACTAATACTTGCATATGTTGGCATTAGTTGGCAACCGAGGAATGCAGTGCTGGCCATTTTATTGCGGTTGTTGTTGTTAGTTTTAGTTGCATTATTCTCATGAGTATGCGTATGTATGTGTGTCTTCTGTGGGTTTGTAACTGAGATACACTTCATTCTTTATGCGCCCACTTGTCCTTGCAACTTTTCGACAAAATGCAATTTCGCCTAAAGTTGAATTTTGATATAGGTGTAGGTGAGTGTGTGTTAAGTCAACAGCCGAGTTCGAAAGTGAGAAAGTCTATTTTTGGTGACAACAACTGTAAACTTATCCCACATAAGTGTGGAACAGCTATTAGATTAGATTGCTCAAGTTATACATGTGTAAAATAATAGAACTAAGATACTTGGGTTTAAGGGGCACACCTAGAGTGGAAATAAAATGAGTAAATTTTTAAAAATAATACACTGAATTCTTAAAACTCGAGGCTTCAAAAAGGTTTACAGTTAAAGTTTTAGTCCAGTCGATTTAGCCATTTCCGTCTTTCTATCCATACGTCTGTCTATCCGTCCCTCTGCACATACGCGAACTTGTCCCTTAGTCTTTAACTAATAGATCTGGAAATTTGAACACTGTATTTTCTTCCTAAGAAGCTGCTTATTTGCCGGAGCACCCGATATCGGATCATTACAATATATAACTGCCAAAGAAACTGAACTATCAGAATGAAGTAATTGTATGAACAATTTTTTCATTTGACGATATATTTCAAGAATCTTGGCATTGAACGCACCGATCAAAATCAATTTCTTGAAAGGAAGGGTATTATAACTTTGAAAAAGGTCGAAATCCTTGTAGCAGTACAGGACCTTTTTTAGCTTATGGGAATAAATGCTCAAAACAAGACAATTTTAAGGCTTTCGCACTGAGTATGCCCATTAAGTTACATGTAAGCCACTATAAGGACTTTAACTGAAATACTCAACAAATAAACAAAACTTCACATTTTCAGTACTTAGGAGCTCTACCAGCTTTCGTTGGATTTAAAAAATGTTTGGTCATAAGATCGCAAACACTAAATAAATTAATCGTGCAAAGTTTTGTCCCGTTATATATCTCGATTTGTGTACTGGAAACTGAACGAATCATGAGGAATTGTACTATATGGAAAGTAGGCGTAATTGTTGTCCGATTTCGTCCATTATCACAATGTGACATAAGAAGTTATAAGGAATGCCATATGCTAAATTTTGTCGAAATCAGTTGGTCCCGAGATATCGGATTTCACCTAAAAGTGAACAGTCTTCTTATAATTTTCACACCGCTTTCCATAGAATCCTTTCATACAATCTCGGTGGTCAGATTTAATGCCTCTGGCGTATTTAGTTATTGATTTATTGCGTTTCTAATAGTTTTTAACAGTACCGTTATATAAGAATAAGAAGTGAGTGAGGTTATCCTTCGCTTTCAGCCATTTTCACACTGTAGAAATTTTTATAAGATTTATACTCGGCGAATTTGGTTGTCGTAGCTTAACTGGTTTAGGAGATACATATGTACATTAAACTTATTAGGGCGGGGCCACGCGTGCTGTACCAAATTGCAGTTTTATGTCTTAATTTAGTGCTTAGATATGGCACTTTATATGTTTTATTGTTTTGGTTAATGGCGATTTATGGGCGTGGCAGTTGTCCCATAACGACCATCTCGGAAGTCGATTGTTTTTTTTTTTTTGTTTTTGTAATAACCCACATACGAAGTTTCATCGAGATATCTCCATTTTTACTGAAGTTACAGCTGGACGGACGCACAGTCAACCGGATTTCAACTTCTTCTCATCATCCTGATCACTTATAGGTACATGTACTTATAACCCTATATTTATCTCCTTTAGGTTTAGGTGATACGTACAACCATTAGGTGAGCCAAACTATAATACTCTGTAGCAACTGGTTGCAAGAGTATAAAAAACCACGCTAAAGCCGCGGAAAACCACGATGATAATGCTCAATCGCATCGAGCAACAATTGTGACCGAATTTGAAGCCAAAACCGCAATAAATACCATTGGTTAACCACCGCATTCACCAAATTTGCCTTCGTGGGATTTTTTTGTTGTTTCCCAAAACTGAAATTTCCGCTCCGTGGAACCCGTTTTCAGTCGATCGAAAGGATACAAAAAATTCGCTAAAAGCCATCCCAAAAAGTGGTTATGAAAAAATTTCGATGACTGAAAAAATCATTGAAATAAGTGTGGGGATTTCGGTTTTATTTACAATGTATATTTATATAATAATATCTGTGCCCAAAAAATAAGGTGACATTGTATTTATTTTGAAAATTCTTTATTTATTCTTCCAAATCAATTTCATCCCCATCAAAGTAATCCCCACTAGATGTAGTACCGTTCCGGGATGGCCTTCAGTTCCGTCTTCGCTGCAGCTTGAATCTCCTCTATTGTATAAAAGCGGTGTCCCCGGAGCAGTCTTTTGAGCTTGGTGAACAGCCAGAAGTCGCACGGCGCCAGATCAGGTGAATACAGTGGCTGCGGAACGATATGGATTGAGTTTTTGGCGAAATGATTATTTAATGCAAATTCTTTGCTCAACAAATTTCGACATCGCAAAMYACGAAAAACTCACTTTTAGCAGCTCACAAAACGACACGTATCTCAAACACTAATGAATATTTTAACATGAAATTTAACATAAATGTGACTGACAGTACTACCAACCTAAAAAAGAATATTCAAATGTCACCTTATTTTTTGGGACGTATATTTAGATATACTTTTACTCTTACTGGGCATCATTACGAATATTTCTGTCACTACAGCTGCAACACGTGCCTTAGGCTCATTAAAACCATTTTATATAAATAAGGCAAGAGCCAGAGGTACATTGAAGAAATTCTCACACACCAATTTTACTACGATCAGTTAACATTTCTTAGTCCCACTTTTAGGCGTAAAGAATTGGATGCAAAATAGTCTTGCAACCTCATCCACCATCGAGTTCATTTTACCTTTTCAGTCATATTAGATTTGAAATGGACCAATTTATAAATAAATGAATGTATAATGTAGGAAAACAAGATTGTGATCACAACGGATTTAGTAATATAATCAATAGAGAGTTGTAAAGAAATATGACTTGAGTCCTTAAAATTTGTTATCGAAATAAAAGATTTGAAAACGTTTTATTAAAAAAAAAGCAGTAAAATGTATTACCTAAATATTAGTAGTTAAATTTTCTTACACACATTAAATTATATTGTATTCCTCTCTTTATCTTTTTCCCATCCATCACCACCATCACTATATTATTCTATGCCCTTTTTAAATCAACATACCAATTTTTTTCAGTGCATTGACAAGATGTTTACATGGCCACAGCTAATGCGGATACTGATGCTGTGATGTCTTAGCCTGGTAATTTATTTACAGAGCAATTAGTTATCAATGTCGTAAGAGATTATCGGGTTAAAGTGTAATAGTCACTGCAGCGGCTTAAACCAGACACATGGATGTGGCCGAATGTGGCAAGCTGCAATTACTTAGGACACTGCAAAACTGCATTTAAGCACCCAAGCTCTCCAATGCACGAGTATATGTAGCATATGTATATTTGTGGAGCAAATACTTGGCAAAACATGAGGATGTACTTAGCAAACATAAAATCGATTAGATTTCGAAAGCGGTTCATGGCCAAACCTACATGCTATGGAGACACGCATACTTAGATAAAGCAAATATGCAGATATACATTGATGCACAAGTCCTTAAGAAAGCTAATGAGTTGGCATGTGATTTGATTAGCCAGTAATTACGCTTTTGGATTGATTTTAAAGACTTGCAATGATTGCAAATTAAGCTGGGGGAGTATTAGCTTTCGAAGAAAACCACATATCTGATGTTTCAAGATGAGTTTCATAGCCATGACCATATAAAGGGCCTTGCCGGCATTGAAAAAGTATACTATTAATTATGTAAGAAGGTTTTTCATAGTTTTATCTCATTTTTGCAGACCCGGCCGTCATCTTTTAGTTTCGACTTAGGCATAAAATAAATATGACCCAAACCAGGTGCTCTATTAAACTATA